ACACTATGAATTTGATAGACGCAGTACTTCAGAAATCATTTCGTCCCCGCCGGTTTGATGTCCCTGATGTTATGCATAAAGCAGTCGTTAAATTTAGCATCCGGAACTCTCTGACAGCGGCTGCCGATCAAAGTGGCGTAACCCTTGTAGGCGCAGCAGCGCCAAGACCCGAAATTGGAAAGCCACCCACAGGAACACAAAATACCTGACATCCCTCACACGACATTTCTCACTCCGCAAGACATTCAAGTCTTGCGAAAGTAAATGCCATTGTCTCAAACAACAAGCATCAAGGGAGGGACTCTAGGATTAGGCAATCATCACCACCCACAAGCAGATAGTATTCACCGACACTCCCCCTTCGCGGTCTCCTGATCAGATCACACATCACGATGTCTACAACGACAACAATGACTCTGTCACATTCGGCAGAATACTCAACAGCATGTCCGAACTGTGGAGTTGGTCTGCCAGTACACTCAGAGATCGCAGCCGAAGCACAGCGGCAAATTGAAGATCTCCAAGCACAGGTCCGACTCTTGACGCAGAAGGCTACTGCTGCGGGTTTGTTTCACTATCTCTTCATAACGCGACACGCTGTAACTGACAGATCTTTAGTCGACAGATGGGCAGACTACGAAGACGAAATCCAGGAACTCAAGGCGCAAGCACACGCTCGCAACTCGAACGAAGCCGCAAGCCAGGAAGAAGAGAGACCTGGCAGTCCAAGCAGATTCTCCTACCTGCCTGTCCAAAACCGACTCTCCTCTTTCCTCACTTCGCGCAAATCGACACCGAATCTGAAGTCGCCTCCACAACCACCTACACCTTCAGCAACAGATCTCGCAGCGGCTTTAACTAGGGAACAAGCGTTGAGACAATCTGCGGAGAGTAAATTGGATAATGCCAGTAATGAGTTGGAGGAGTTGAGCGCGCAATTATTTCAACAAGCAAATGAGATGGTGGCTACCGAGCGAAGAGCGAGGGCGAAGTTGGAGGAAAGGGTGGAGGTTCTTGAGCGGAGGGACGGTGAGAAGAGAAAGAGGCTGGAGCGGTTGGAGGGAGCGGTTGCGAGGATTGAGAGGGTCAGGGGATTGCTCGCTCCAGGAAGATAAGTCCAAAGGCGAAAATGGCCGCTGCGGAAAGTTGGTCGGGAAGGCTCTGAGACTGTATGTCAAGATGCGGATCAGCCGGAAGCGCTCAAAGGCTTTGGAAAATATTCAAGAATTTCCACGTACGACCGGGACTTACGCGGTATCCTCATTCCGACCGACGGAGTTTCGGTACAATCTTCCAATATCGGTTTTCCAAGAACTTCCAATCGTCATACAAGAAACAGACGTTGAAGCCTGGTTTCTTGACCTCTATCACGACTTTCTAATCGAGCCAGCCCCATATTTGGTATCCGGCACGCTATTTTACCTTGGCTTTATACTCTTGCTATCGAATTACTACATGGCCATTTGGCGTCTTTCATGCTTCTTCTTTCTATTCTTGCCTTGGGATTATGATGACGGTTGGGGCTATCTTTCATCTTAATACGGTGCATTCGTGCAAGCGAAAGATTTTGTACGGTATTGTAAGAATATTCAGCATACTAGGGAGAGCATAGATCAGGAGTTAGCAAGGGTGTTTAGAGATGATACCCGGGACTGTATATTATTGTTTAGTGCACTGCGGAAGGGTTAGATAGCGAGCATTCAAACATGGTCTTACCAAGAGCGTATCTTTTGGTCAAGTCCACTTCGCATTCAAAAGCGTCTAATTAGGTATCCTCTTGCAAAATCCATCCAACACCTCAATGGCCTAAGTAAAAGTACCACTTGACCTTCTCCTTTTACTTCCCAATAGTCAAGAATAATCTATCGCCTACATCCCCAAGACCAGGTCTAATCATCCCTCTCTCATTACAATCCTCATCTACGCCAGCAACCCAAATCTCCACGCCCTCCTCCCACTCACTCGCCGCTCTCAATACTCCAGGCATAGCACCCAGCACTGCAATAACGATAACTCTCTTTACGCCCCACTCTTTCAATGTCTGAATAGCGGCCGCACACGTTCCTCCAGTCGCGATGACAGGGTCGAGGAGGATAGCCAGTTCGGAAGCGCCTGTATTGGGTGTATTTGAAGGCGAAGCGGGGGATGGAATGTGGTACGGCAGGTTATTATAATATTCCACTGGTTCGAGTGTTACAGGCTCGCGGAAGAGACCGAGGTGGTGGACGGGAACGGGATTTGGGAGGAGGGTTTGAATCGCGTCGAGCATGCCGAGGCCTGAGCGAAGGATTGGGATGAGCGAGATGGTCTTGGGTGAGATGGTAGTTGTAGTGTATTCGTATCCTAAGGGAGTTTTGCCCTATAACTTGTCAGTGCGGGGGTACTTCGCTTGGATGGAGGGGTAAGTAATGGTGATGGCACGGACAGTTGGGCCTTTGACTGTAGAGAGACCGGCGGCTGTGGCTTCGCAGCCTACTATGAAGGAGATGTCATGAACCAAAGCTTTTGTTTCTCGAGCATTTGTTGTGCTGGAGCGGAGTTGGGAGAGCTTGGCTTGCAGACATGGGTGTGTCGAGACGTGAACATTTGGTGGGAGAGAGTGAGACATTGTGGAGATGTGGTTAGGAAGGAAGTAAATCTAAGTATCTAGAGAATGAACTTATATATCGAAGAGACACATAGGATCTATTTCTCTTATTGAACGGTGAGCTGTTCCAGAAAACAAGAGTGGAATGCAAGGAATCATGCAGGTGCATGCGGCGGCCGTGGCCGGAAGTAGATGATAAGGGCTTATCGACGTACCGGTTCCGATTGGCCAAGCATTAATAGCTTGGGTCGGACGGATCGTGGACATCGGAAGGGCTGCGGATCTACATTTTTCAAAGGTGGAATCTCTTCCATCATGTCCTCTGTTTTAACTTTCGCCAATACGAGATGTAGTCATCCTGCCTCGAGACGCCTCAATTCGTGATGGATGCCTCGACAAATCCAAAGGAGACGGATAGCACCCCAAGACGTCAAAGCATCGTCTCCCGTCACTCTGAGTCGAGAAGGGAGAGATCTGCCAGACGGCCATCACACGATGCTGAGTACAATATCCCGGACAATTACGCCAATCTCGACGAAATAGCAGCTCCGTCGCCAGTTCAGAATGAACACGACCATCATATTCAACGAGTCCGAACGTTGGAGGGAAGTCATCGTTCTGGGGAGACGAATGCTTCGAGAGAAGCACGGAGACAGAGCCTAGTGAGGTCGATATCACATTCATCACGGAGATCACGAAATCCAAGACGGGTGTCTCAAGGCGGAGAGACCAATTACGATTTTCCAGACAACTACGTAAATCTCGACGAACTGGCTACTCCTTCCCCCGTGGAAAATCCAGATGAGGAACCTGTATATCTACACAAGTCTCTAGAAGAAGCGAAAGATCAGGAGCATGGGTATCAGCAGGATCAAGTCAATCAACGAAGAGCCTCTTTAGCAGCGGGCGAAGAGCCGAAAGAAGAGCAAAAGGCTGAAGAGAAAGGCGTACATAAGGTCTCGAGATTTGCCACACAACTATACGTAATTTCATACCTGGTCTTTTTTTCTTTCCTGGGTACACTAGCTCGACTTGGACTACAAGCTATCACTTTCTATCCTGGAGCACCTATTGTATTCAGCGAGCTGTGGGCCAATTTTGGAGGAAGTCTAATAATGGGCTTCTTGAGCGAAGATCGGATGTTGTTTAAAGAAGAATGGGGCACCCCCGTCTACCACCAGCAGCTTGAGAAGGCGAAGCAACAGTCCCAAGATGAAGAAAGTGGCTCAAGTTCAGAACAAGTTATCGACTTAGCAGCTGCTAAGAAGGCACATGCGGCTACGAAGAAAACGATCCCACTCTACATAGGGCTTGCAACAGGTTTCTGCGGCTGTTTTACATCTTTCTCGTCCTTCATCCGCGATGCCTACTTAGCAATGTCGAATGATCTTATGACTCCGTTGAATCATCCGGCAGACTATGGTGTCGGAGAATCGGCGACCTCGACCGTTTCGAGAAATGGAGGTTATTCGTTCATGGCCTTGCTGGCTGTCATCATCACTACCGTCTCACTCTCTATCTCAGCTCTTCATATTGGAGCACATCTTGCTATTCTTCTGGAGCCGTGGACACCGAGCTTACCATTCACATTCTGCCGCAAGGCCCTAGACCGCATTGCTGTAGTTCTGGCATGGGGCTGTTGGCTCGGAGCTATCTTTCTTGCTATTTGGCCCCCAGACCGACATGACAACCCACCGGAGATGTGGCGGGGCCGAGCAGTCTTTGCCTTGGTCTTCGCTCCACTAGGATGTCTGGGACGATTCTATGCCTCTATTTACCTTAACAACAAATTCTCCTCCTTCCCGCTTGGGACTTTCATTGCAAATATCTTCGGCACAGCTGTCATCGGCATGAGCTACGACTTGCAACACGTGCCACTGGGCGGAACAGTCGGCTGTCAGGTACTCCAGGGCATAGAGGATGGTTTCTGTGGGTGCTTAACCACAGTCAGTACTTGGGTCAGTGAGCTTAGCACACTGAGGAGAAGCAATGCCTATAGATATGGTGCCGCAAGTGTCGTTGTTGCGTTCTGCTTCTTAGTTGTTATAATGGGGAGTGTGCAGTGGACGAGAGGCTTCTCTCCCCTGCAATGCACGCATTGAGATACTTTGGTTCTATCATACTTACGTAATATAATTCAAATCGTGGATTGATGATATATACATTGTGGCTCTGATACTTTCGACTTGGATAGATGCGCAAAAGATATTTTGGGGCTGTTCTAGATGCTGCCGGGTCTTTTGAAGCAAAGCGCTTCGAAACGCAGAAGCCCCCACAGCGAGCGCTAGTACAGTAGTCGCTTAAAAAAGTTCAATGACCTCGCTTGAGAGTTCGCTCGGCACAAGAAAAAATTGCAAGAGCTCGATGTCAGAAGAATCAGATTTAGAAAGGAGCCAAAGAAGCCAAAAGAGTTTGGAGACGCGGGGGATCGAACCCCGGACCTCATGCAATCCTGCAAGTTAATGCAAAGCAGGCGTTCTACCACTGAACTACATCCCCTTCAAACCAAACCAGCTCATTGGCTGTTATGGAGGGGAAATTTCTTATTTACTTATACATAGAGTGCTGAGGGTGCTGAGAACAAGATTCATTCTTTCCACGCTAAACCACATTCAGCAAGATCGATCTTATCACTTAAACCTCCGTCAAGGATCTGCTGCCCATTTGGCCACTAAGCCTTCCGAGATCAGGGAGTTCGAAGCTCAAGCACACTATCTATCACTCTGCAGGATGCGAATTATTGGGGTGTCTTTTTTAAGTGTACAATGCCTAGAAAGTAGTTCTTAGCCCAACGCCGTATTGGTTGACTTCTGATTCTCCTGTATCCATTCCCAATTGTCTCAAGCTCTTCTTGCCACATAGTAGTGACACAATCGTCCCCTCATGGCCATGATTCCAAGTCAAAAGAAAAGCCCAAAAAAAAAACAAATCAATAAAGACCCAATTCCTAAAGTCATGTTCGCCGGTAGTCCACTTTCTTTCTCCACTCTCAGCCATCAATCTAAGATCGAAAGTTGCAGACAGTTGCATTGCCTCCAGGAGAAACATGAGTCTCGACAAATGTCTACCAGTGGAAGGTGCTGGCATGGCAATAGACAGCGTTGTGGATTTTGTCTTGTTCCGCCTGGGTGTGGTCCTCCTCTTCTTTGGCTGCCTTTCGCTCCTCCTCGAATAATGCCTTATGCTTGCTGTCGATTCGCTTAATACAATCCTTCCCCACTACCTTAGAAAACTCGCCGTGTGCCTAATACAGGAGGCGCCAATGGGTGAATGTCTCGAGCGCATAAAATGGGAGGACGTAGGCGATCAGAAGGGCATGTTTAGACCGATCGAAGCCCTCGGGCTGAGCCAGGCTGACTTGGGGAGTTGTGGAATTGTGGAAGCCATAATAGTATTGCTTCTCTGATGTAGAAAGAGTACCGGGTTTCTGAATGCTCGGCTTGGTCCGCTGCAATGCCTTGGTTGTTGGCGGTGTCTCAGTTGCGTTAATGACGGAGAGAGTTGTTTGCTGATGGCCTTTGGTTAGCATTAACTCAGTTGCGCGTCGTGAGTGTGTGGAAAGTTATTACAGGTCGGGAGCATAAAGTGCATTGGCTAGCTCTTAGCCAGAGAGGAATCGGAAAGGGATGCTCGGCGCAAGTGTGCTGACCCTCTTGTGTTGAGTCCAAAGAACGATCGACTATTATGAATGATGCGGTCCGCAAGTGCATACGTTCCGAAGACGTGATGGAGACATGTGGTTGCAGAAATGTTAAAGAAAAATACCTTCTAAGTGGTTGCTCGGATGCGCTTTTATGTACCAAGGCGCTAATGCCGAATATGAGTGCCGAGTAGGCTGGCAATCTTAGTGTTAATTTGTGTGCAACTGTCTGGTGAATTGGCATATATATGTATAGGGAGAAGCCACATGAACTTAGCTGCCCAAGAGGGAGAGGACTAGGTGTTGACTTTGATGCACTTCCTGTTTTGGTGCAGATCAAATGTTATTTGTCGGATCTTATACATTGTGGAGTGGCTCTCCAAAGAACAAAAGAGGGGGAGCGCGGAACCTGCAAGTTATATCATCACACAGAAAAGACTTTAGTAGATATCTACAGAACGTAGTGTATGGTTCTGGGAGTGGCTTCCTAAACACAAAACTAGCTGTGTACTCGCGCAATTAGTCACCTCGAAGATCCACAGCAGTAATCAAGAAGGTACCCTACATTCTGCTGATTATAATACCTCAAAGGAGAAAGCCTAAAAACATCCGCAATTTCAAAAGATCTTGTCGCTTCGAAGCATTTCAAGGATTTGCTATCTATCTGGCAGCTAAGCCCTGTAATCACGGGGTTCGAGATCTCAAAACTAGCATTGTTCGCTTTGCAAAAGAATTAGTAGAAATATTTCTCTCGTATACAAACTTAATCGACTGCCTGACAATCACAGTGTCTTTGTCCCCAAACGCCGTATGAGCCACGATCTCCTGTCCCCGCAACCTGAACCCATTGACATTCCGCATTCTTCCGTCCACAAACCGTGGATCAATGGTGTCCCGAGGACTTCTCGTCAGCCAGCAAAAAAAAAATAAAAAAAAAATGCATCCATCCTATCAATCCTCCCCACAGCCTCATAAGGAAAATCTTCAAAGAGCCTCCATGCGAAAGTCTATTTCTTGAAAGTACTGACTCGAGTGAAAACGACATTGTTCAGCTTCTCTTGAGCAGCTTGAATTCGCTCTGCCTCTTCCTGCTCCAATCTCCTCATTTCCTTGCAGAAGTCCGCATGCTTTCTATCCATGCAGTCGATATCCTTGGTCAAAACCTCCTTAAGATTGGTCGTACCATGTCTTTGAGTCCGGACTTGCCAATGCTTGAAGGTCTCAAGCTCGTAAAAAGGCAAGACATAGGCATGGGACCATTCCTTGCAATGCTCTGGCAGGTCCAGAATAACGGTCATACGCTTGAGACCCTTGAAAGAGCGGACCTTATCAACAACTTGCAGAAGGGATAGGCGAACGGAACAGTCTTTGAAGGTCTCGATGCTGTTCATAAACGGACTTGAGGCTAGAACCTCTATCTTTACATTGAGGTATCGGACGAGGCGCACAATAGGCTGGAGTTGGGCAAGCTGGTCGAGTATTGTTGAAGCGCTACCAGACTGAAGGAAAGCTGTGTCAATGACAATCTCAAACCCAGTCGCAGCGACGTATTTATCACGGATTTCAGGAGCCATTCCTTGGAGGTCGGACACGAAGTTGTACTTCGGAGCGTTGAATCGATTCTCTAAGAACTTGTAGGTAGAGCCATTGCGATATGTTTTTTCAACCTCAAGAAGTTCGTTGCGAGTGATCCCATGAGCGGATATCGTAACTGCCGCAGTTGTGCCCAACTTGCGCACTAATCGGAGTGGGCGAGGGGGAGGAACTTGCTGAGAGCCACGGGTTGCCATTCTGCTAGGTGGCGGTAGCTCGTTGGCTTAGTTAATCTAAATATCGAGATAGTTGGAGGGGATGTGTATCTCGAAGGCGCTATGTGGTGGTCGCGATTTCTTTAGTGTTGATCAGCATTGCCATAAGTAATCTTACATTCGCGCATCATTGAAAAGAATGGTGTAGAAGTCTTACATGAGAAGCTGTTGCGCTTTATGCAAGACTAGAAGTCTTGGAAAGGAAATTGTCTGAGTAGAGGATTTGCGCAAGACTATTACGCACTGTGCAGAGCAGCGTCTTGGATGAGGGTTGATGCTTTGGTAGTCAAGTGCAGCAGTGCTCTAAATAGTATTCCCGTATACTACGATACGCCCCACTTCGTAATACCGTACGGGTTTTTCTGTACGGCAGTGAGATCCGTACGCCCTTTTAAAATACGACGTAATATACCCATATATAAGTTACTACTGCCCGTATACGGATGTACGGGTCACATGACTTTAGTAAGGATAAAATAGGGAGGCTAGGAGCTTAATCACCACCTGTAAAGGGTTCGAATAGATAAGACTATTAAGTAATTATTAATAAGTAATTTCCGTGAGCTCGAACGTATAAATACCCGTATATTAACCACTTACATTAATGCTTAGCTTGGGAGTAGCTTTAATATTTCCTATTTGGGACTGCTTACTTGGATTTTTGTCATCGCGCTAGTATGATAGTATACGGGCCGTATAGTAGTACCGTATGATATTTTCGTTCGTACGTATTCTTCATAAAATATACTACTTCGTACGTGCAACAAGGCTCTCATACGGCGCTAAAAATACCACTGAATACTATTTAGAGCACTGAAGTGCAGGCCTTGGAAAGGTATGGTGGTTTAGGTTAATGAATGAGTGTTTATCGAAATGTGTTGGAAAGTATCTTAGAAGTGGTTGTGGAGCTGCGCTTTTGCACCGAGGCGCTAGTGTTAAATTTGCTCCCAATCCTAGTGTTATCTTGCTTGCAATTGTCTAGTTAATTAACATATATTTTATTTTTATAGGGAGAAGCCACGCGAATTTCTCTACTGAAGTCTCTAAGAAGGGAGAACTAGAGGATGCTTCTAATACACTTATTATTTTAATGCAGATTAAATACTATATATTGGGTTTCTCTCCCTCGCAATGTTCCTTATAGTTTTTGAAAGAAGAGCAGAAGAATCCATGCTTTTTTCTAACGTAAATGGTCACTTGTCAGAGGGTCAAAGATATGGGTAGATATCCTACATTCTCCTGAATAAGAGCTACTTCTCTCAAATACCCCAGAAGAGCGTTACTGCCTTAAGTTGGTGTCTTCCTACCAACCAAAGTAGCTGTGTCATCACGCAGTTAGTCGATTTGAAGATGCACAGCGGCCATGAATAAGGTATCCTGTATTCTACTGACCATAATACCTCAAAGGAAAAAGCCTCCAACCATCCGCCAATACCCATTATAGCCCTTAATCCGCAATATTCCATGCTCTTCTGTCCACAAAATTGTGGCCCAAATGTACCCAAGCACCGCTTAGTCAACCGCCAAAAAGTTCCAAATTTTCTCGCTCCGCAAAATCCACTCGTTCTCGCTCAATGGAGCCAACTTGCTATCTTATTTCTTTGATGGCTTTCCACGGGTCCCCTCCCAATCCGAGCCCTTCTTAAAGGTGCTGTGCCGGGTGAAAACAGCATTCTCTACTTTGTCTTTTGCCTCCTGCTCGACTCTTCGGTTCTCACATAATTTTGCATACCTATGGTCAATTTCCGAGATTTCGCCAACCCCAAACGGCTCCCAGTTAGCCTTACCATACTTTTGACGACCAACAGACCATCGAGTAAAGGTGTCGAGCTCATAGAAGGGCAGGACGTATTCATGAGAGCAAGTTTCGAGGCCCTTCGGGAGAGCCAGAATGACAGCCATCTTCTTAAGACCCGCAAACAGGCGGATCCTCTCGATAACCTTCAGGAGGCACTTGCGCACTGTAGAGTTGTTGTATTGGACGAAACTAGTAAGCCAGGGTCCAGTAGGTGGGACCTCGACTTTGATGACGAGGTTCTCGATAAGTTGCA